TATTTTTTTTTATAAAATCATAATTACATATGGATTTTTTTCGTATATAATTATATACGGCTTTTATATAAATCGTATGTAATTATATAAGAAAAAATTCATATATAATTATATACGAATATATCCGTATGTAACTTATCTATGTTCTTCTATGGAATTTTGTTCGTATATAATCCATATGTAACGCCATTTTATATACGGATTTTAGAGGTTATATACGGATTTTAATTGTATATAACTGTGATTTTTCTTGTAGTGTTAACATTGCGTACCTCATCACTTTCTTGAAACTCCTCTTGTATTATGTTCCAAGCTTGCTTTGCACTTATGGCACCAATTATCCTTGGAAAAATTGTGTCATCAATTGATCGTTGAAGAGCAAATAAAGCCCTTGAATCTTTCTGTTTGTTTTCCTTCAACTCTTTCTTTTAAGCTATAGTAAGAGTAGAGGTGTCTTCTGGAATAATGAATCTCTCTTCTATAATATCTCATAAATTTTGAGAGTGGAAGAATGTCTTCATTTTGACACTCCATAAATCATAATTTTTTCGTGTGAAAATAGATACTGAAATTTGATGATGTTTGATTAGTAGTAGCCATGAGTTGAGAAAATATTTTGGAAGTAGTATAGAATGAGTTATTGTTTTGTTTAAAGTAGTTGAAAATTTTATATATGCCTAATAAATGGCCGAATGTACTTTGGTACCACTGTTAGTATTTTGAATTTATGAAAGGAATAGTTAATAAAATAGAGAAAATGTAGAGAATGTAGAAAAAAATGTAAAAGTAGTAGTTGAAAAAAGTGTTGTAATTGTCTTTAGTTGTGGTAGATGTTAACTTGCTTCAAATAATAGTACATATGAATATTTATAGACCACATATTTCATCATGACTATTCTAGAAATTTTCAACTAGAACGTTACATAGAAACTTCTAGACTTTCTATTTATATAGAATTTTCTTGATTTTTTTCTTACTATCTTAAATTTTGTTATAATATTTTAGAATTTGTATTATATTTCTTTTGTTCTGTCTTAAAAAGTTTTTATATTTTAGAAGAATTGCATTATGCTTTAATAGAAGCACGGAAATAACTCGTTAATTTTTCTGCATGCGTCTTGTATAACAAATGGGGAATTAGATACTTCAACTCCTCATTTAATGTCATATCACTTTTTCTAAGTGACAAGGGAAGAATAATGATCTTCGAGATTGTAATGGATGGACCCATCGTTAATGTTGTGAACGAAAAAACAAAAGAAAATATTCTAACCAACACACACTTCATCTTAACCTTTATTTCTCTTTTATTTTTCTCGAGGGGTCACAAACATTACTTATTTCACTTCACTGCTATCATGTCGGGTAAAGTACAAGTTCCATCAGTTTGTTCCTCTGTTTCGGCCTGCTCATTCCTAACTGTCGGAATCTTTTTTCCTTAGCCTCTTTTCACTGTTACTGAAGAAAATTGGTGTCGAAATCATCATTTTTCAATTGATAGTATTTGAAAAATGGTCTGACTAAGCGCCTGAAAAATAGTGTTTTTAGTGCATTAATAATTATAACCAGTGTAAAAATATGGTCTTTTGAATTACTGTAAAATTAATGTGATGGAATACTTATAATTAAAGAATGAACAATCAAGACTAAATTCATCAACTCTGCAGATCAAAGATAAAGTCTGTTAACTGATATTAAAAGGTTTTGATCCTCAAGTTAGAATCAGGTAAACATCAACTTATCATTCTAGAAACATCAAACACAATCAGATAAAAGCAATCACAATGCTGCAATAAAACGTGCGAGTACGAAGGTTTTTTCTGCCTTTTCTCGATGGGTCGGGTTTTAGTTTAAAAAACTATCTTGTCCATTGGGTTATGTGAACAAAACAAGCTCATCATGACATATTATTTGCAAAAAATGCCTTACAACAGTCCAGCTTTTATCAGTAACAATTTTATCGCCTGCAATAACCAGTTCTTAATTTTTCTGTATTTAATAATTCTTTTTTGTCTTAAAGTAATATAAATAGTACTTTAAACAGTAAAGTAAAATTATTTAAATAAAATTTATTAAAGAAAAAATGTTAAGAGAATATTATAAACCTAAATTAAATCTCTTGAATCGTAACTTTACAAGCAACCAACACAACATTGCTACAATTCAAATGCTATTTTTCATAGCTCAAAAAAATACATGATTATTCACACCAAGAAAACAAGCTCAAAATCACAGACAACACAAAACTTGACTGAAAAAGGGAAATTGATTTGAATGGCTGCATGAATGATAAATCAGTACAGAACAAACAATGACATGTAGTAGCTTAGGGGCTATAGGTTGTCTCCTCTACCAGCATCCCATGGCACCTTAGATAAAATGGCTATTATAAGATCAAAGTATAGTGGAAACTGCGCCACGGCATAGAACATGACTGGAAAAACAGTGGCTGCATAAATGGGGTATAGAACCGACTTGTATCTGTGACTGAGCAGAAAGTAATGACCGGAGCAGAAAGAGACAAACATTGCAGCAATGGATACAAAAAGAGAACTGAGGCCTAGAAGAAGTTTGAATGGCAAATTTCTTCGAAAATCTTTGGATTGCTTTCGAGAAGTGAGGATTGTAAGGAACATTATGAGCCCAGTGACAGAGGTGCAAAGTCCAACAAGTGAAGAAACGGCAAATACATCGAATGCAGGTTCGCCTTCTAAATGAGGCCTACCTTCATCGTCGGTGCCACCGGGAATGGAGCTGGCCGTAGCAAAGGAAACACCAGCAACAAGTGCAGCCACAACAGAGCAAGATTCAGATGTTTCCTTCAGCCAATCGCTACTTTTCTCTATGAGATCTTTGTGTTCATCCTCAAATATTTGCCCTGCAGTTTTGCCCTCTGTGTCGCTACTTAAGTAAAAGTGTTCTGGCACGAGGCTTTTAATATACTGTTCCAATGAAAAATAACATGTTTCAAGATAATTATAGTTTAATTTTGAATGATGAAAAGCTCTACCTATTTGTTTGAAGGTATTTGTTTGTGTATATATACCTGAAACCACTTTATATCCCACATCATTTGCAAGGCAGAACCAGCTATCTTTGTATGCTTGTCGCCTCCTGGAGCATCTGCTGCCCAGTGCAATATGGTCCTCTCATTTTTATCTATTACCAGAGTTAAATTATTCCAAACTTCTCCTTTTACTTTCATTTTCAAATTCTCAATAACATAGGGTTGCCTGTTCATCACTGCCATCAGCAGCACATTCTCTTTGTTTGCATTCAAGTTATGGATCACACTTGGAATTCGCTCTAAAAGTTCATTCACCATTTCAATTATGCCATTTCTTGCCGCAACCAGGAATGCTGTCTCCGTTTTGTCAATACTGTCACTTGCCCTTGAAGATTGTTTTTGCTTGTCCTCTTCTTCTTCCTTTTCTTTTACTACTTCTTCTTTTTCCGTTTCTTCTTCTTCTTCTTCTTCTTCATCTTCTTCTTCTTTTTCTTCTTCTTCTCCTTCTTCGTTCAGCCATGGCAATTTGCTTGATTCACCTGTCATACCTGAAGTTTATATAGTTTTGTTTGATATTATATATATATATATATATATATATATATATATATATATATATATATATATATGATTTCTATGTGTACTATTTTCTACTATTCTTATTTATTATAGCATTCATTCTACGATTTGCTTGATTGTATACTAGTGTTATAGTAGCAGATAATACATGTAGTGTAACAGTTTTTTTATTTTTCTATTATACTTGAGGTTTATAGTTTTGTTCGATACTCTATATGGTTTTAAAATATGATTTTTGTGCGTCCAATCTTCTACTATACAATAGTCATTTTTTTCTATCTTGCTTTTTTTGTGTTTTCTGTTATTGCAAACCCTATAATTGACATTGTATGTAAGAACAAGAAAAAATGTCAAAAATATTTGAAATACGGTTGTCAAATATGGAGAAGGTTTTAAGAAACAACAGCTTTGAGTTATGAAAAACTAACATGGAAGTTATTTTAATGTAGCAATTACATGTTAAAGCAATAAAGGGGAAGTTAATATATCATCTTTGTTAAAGAAATATAAGACGGACATGATCAACAGGAAAAAAGTGTCATAACATTGCTTCATTAGTAATAAGACACTGAGAGAGGTTACAAGAAGAAAAAATAATTACATCAATGTAGAAGAAGCTCGAATTACTTTGAGTAAATAAATCTATAGCACATAAACTTTGCTTAAAGTAATAATTACATTCGTTTAAGATGATAGAATTGAGAATGATAGTAGAATAATTGACGGACTTTAACAATATTATGGATGATATTGAAAACTTTGAAGTGAAGCTTATGATGAACAAATCATTACTCTAGAGAAGGTTCAAACCATAATTAGAATTTCCTAAAGCTTCAAAAGTCTAAGACAGATTATATTAGGGTTGGTTGGATATCTCAAAGTTGTAAAGCAAGAAGGAAGCAAGGGGAAAGAAATACAAAAAGTCATCATAGGAAAAGACATAGAAGAAGAAAGGGCCAAACACATAGAAGAACTGAGTCATGACCTTAAGTTTCATTTATCACATTTGTCCATGAAAGAATTATTTGAGAACTTAGAACAAAAGTTTGGTATGGTTCTCCATTGGAACCATACATATTGGATAGTGAGAAGTAGGAGAAGTTGGAGTTTTGAAATGCAAACTAGGAAAGTTTCAGCGACATAAGTTTGAGACTTACAAAAATGTGTATGGTACATCAGTATGTTCATAAAAATATTTGGTCCAACACACAGAGTTCGTGTTTGCATACATACATACCTGGTTTAAGTTGGTTAAAAACATTATACATTTCTTCATCAACTGGAATATCTGGAACACCCCCCTCTCCTGTGAATGCTTCATAAGGTCTTTTCAACAGTGCCTTCAATAGTTGACCACTCCATTCGTGTCTCCTTTTCATATTTCTTATTTCCATTAATCCTTAAAAAAACATGTACTTACAATCAAACCAGATTAATCGTATTAATTAAAAGCCATAGATCAAGAAATTAGCACTACATACCTACTCCTGTGAGCCCAAGAGTATGTACATACGCAGACCTCAGAAATTGTTGACTGGTTTCATAATTTGGTGGAAAAAATCCATCCCCAGCAGTTTCAGATACGATTTTACGCTCCTTAATTGGTGGGTTTTCTGAATCTTGCTGATTTCTTTCAGTAAAAAAGTTGTCTTGCCAAAGGAAAATGTGCAAGAAATAGATTGAGTATTAAGAAACTAGTCCCCAGAATTAAGAAAAAAACAAACTAGTTAGTATATAACCCGTTACCAGATAGAGCACCAAGACTTTTGAATCAAGCAATGAATTCACATAATGTGGTATAGTTCTCTGGATAACTACATTTTGAGTCATTTGATTTCTTCTACATCTTTTTCAAAATCTTCTTCATTTGTCTATCAGGGATCACTGGTTCCACAATCATACCTTCGACAAAAGAAAAAAATATTTGCTAACTTGATGGAATTTTTACATACTATAGGATTAGTAAATGTGCACATTTTATATAATGGATCAATTATACTCTCTTTTCTTAACAAAATAAAAAATACCCCACCTGTCACCTGATTTAAATCTGAAACTTGAAAGTTTTTCAATGCTTGAGTTTCTTATTTTACAATTGAAAAGTTATCAAAATCAATTTTATTAATTTTATATGAACATGAGTTGGAGAAAAAGATGGATATTCTGATTAAAACTGACAAAATAATATCTTTTTAAATTAAAAATATCTGAACATCACTTCATTTCATATGTAATGCAGTGTATAGATAGATATATATAATAATACTTACAGTGGTACAGGATTTGCTTCCACCATGAAAGTTTGGTAGCACTTCTGAAAGCCGAGGGCCTGGTTGCAAGGACTTTAAGAGGTGTGAATCCCTCTTCATTCAAATGTGTGCTAAGAAAATCATAGTAATGCACTATTATCACAGCCAAATCTGCATCATATCCATAAATATATGTAGTACTCAGTGTGTGTACATATATAGCATTATGTTATTTCAAAATAGAAATACAAAATAATAAATAAGAAGTTATAAGGTTGATTTAATAGTAAAGATAATAATAAGGGTGAAAAAAGTAAGAAAGTCTAATTTCTAACCAATATAAAATCTTCAACGCATACAATATTATCTAGAAACACAGAAATATACCGAAATAGTGATCTAAAATATGACAAGGAAAAGAAGATAGGTATGAGAAAGATACCGAAGTACTCTCTCCTGATAGCACAGTGAAGAATACTGTCACCGTTGTATCGCACAAGATCTTGCATGGGAGCGCTGTGGCCGTAAAGGTAAGAAAGATAAGCAAAGGTCTGTTTCTTCCAGTTGAGAGCGGCTTGAAAGAGAGGAGTCTCTCCATCTTTGTTCTTGAGTTTCGCTAAGTAAATCCTCTTCCGATTCTCTCCTACGATGATCTGACATATCTTTGTGAAACCCCTGGAAGCAGCAACATGCAGAGCTGTATCCCCTCGATAGTTCTTCACTTTCAGAGCCTTCCTCGTCTTGTGTCTGATAATGGCTATCACAAGCTTTTCAACCAACTTTTCTTCGGCCAAATCCACCACCACGTGTAGTGCAGTGCCGACGAAATCGTCAATCTTTGCCGTGTGACACGCTGGGTATTCATTGTACATCTCCTCAACCTCTTTCCATTTCCCTTCCAATGTGAACTGCGCCAGACGGTTCACTTTATTCGACAACACCTCCTCAAAATTTCCATACTTGGTCGTTCCCATCCTGCTTCAACTTCAGATTATCAGAATAGTGTATACTGTTTAACATGGCAGGAGACATTGTAGTAGTGATATGCATCTTATATACTGAGAATGTATATGTGATCTCTAAGGAACTTGATGCTTCAACTTCACATCATTTTCCACTTTTTTAGTTCACACGGGAAGTATAATTTCATATAGTAATCAATAAGTATCTTTGATCATCGATGGACACAAAACAAAAGAAAAAGAAAACACTTATTTACTATATATGGACATTAATCTACACATAATTAATGCCGATAAAAAAATATGTATACGTAATTAACACTTTTTTAGTGGAAATTTATTAAGAATTACAAATGATATATTAGTCTTACGTTTTATTTAATGAGTTCTATGAATAAGAGAAAGATAAAAGAATTATAATTCCGTTTGAGATCAGTCTGAATATGTTTTTATTTTTTATTAAATCACTTTTCAAATCAATTAATAATATCTCCACATTGTTGGGAGTGGCCAACTAAATTTATTGGATTCCAAAGAAAATAAAGCGTTACTACTGCAAAAAAGTTCAACCTCGTTGTCCTCTTCTGTTTTGTTTTTTTTATCAGTAATGGTAGCTGTAATGGCTTTCTTTTTTTATCTTTCGACTAACAAAACTGGGAAAAAGAAATAAGCAGAAAAATAGTTCTTGTCCCATGGCTGCAGAGAACTGTTATATATTGTAAATTGATGTGTTTGGATTTTTGTAACGAATTTCCTGAGAACTTAAAAATTCATGAGTGTAGTTAAAGAAAGAAAAAGGAAAATGACACTTGAACAATTGACAACATTTAGACACGCGCACACGTGTCAAAATCTGAGTGGTCCATTTTCATTTAATTTTTCCAACTGGACCACTCAGATTTTGACACGTGTGCGCGTGTCTAAATGTTGTCAAAAATGGTTGTTCAAGTATCATTTTCCAAAGAAAAAATAACGGTAAAGTTTTACATTAGTTAGAGCTTAACAGTAGTTAATAATTATAATGTAACGATAGGTAGGATCTCGACTTACTAGATAAATCTAATTTTAAAAATTATATAGTAATTGATGAAAATATAATACATTCAAAATAATAATTATCATAAAATTAATTAAAAATATACTAATACAAATATTAACAAATAAATAAGAATATATTATAAAACGAATTATTTTATCACAATAAAAAAATCATCATCTTTCTTGAATTAGTGTCATCTTAAATAATTTAAAATTAAAAATAAATCCTCTAAATATTTTTTAAAATTTGCCAATATACCAAAAAAAGTTTCATAATACTTAATATATATATATATATATATATATATATATATATATATATATATATATTGTTTTTATCCAATCCCATAGATATATTAAACAACATGATCTAATAAAATTTTTTAAGTTTCTCTCTTATGGAATAACCAAAACTTCTATCGAGATGATATTTATGTAGGATAACTAAATATAAAAAATTTGATGATTTAACTATTATTTATTTTTGTTATTATTTATTATATCGTTATTAATTATACTGTTGTTCAAATAAGTATTATTCTCGTCGAAACAGAAGCTCGTTGTCCATATTGATCTTATAATTCTCGATAAGTATTCTCTCTCAAAAACATTTATATAGGAAAAGTTTTTCTAAAAATGGATCTTTCTCTTAATGACAAGGGATTCGATTACATGCCATCAAGAACGATCAAGACATCGCTAGAATTTTGTCGCTGTCGACAAATCCGAACTCAAAATTCCGATTGGAGAAAAAAATGAATGATATAAAACAAAAGAAAAACATGAAAAAAGAATCTACCATTTTTCTTTCTTGCACACACTAATATAAGGTTAATATTCCGAATAGTGAGATTTCTTGGGTTTTATTTAAAGCCATCATGTAAATTTGCCGATTTACTTCACAAAAGTTTTGGTTTTAAAAATAGTTTTTAACGTATTAATGTTATTTTAGTAATTCTCATTCAAAATTAATTAAGCTTTGAAACTTTTTTCTAAATAAGTGTTAAAATAAGAAATGATAATTTAGAAACAACTAGAATATAATTTCATATTCTTTTTTTTTAATAGTTGAAGAGTGTAAGTCATTTAGTGTAACCTTATACACAGTGAGACAGAAATAATATTTTTTAAAAATAGAAATATTCAAACACACCTTCATTAATTCTTCACTTTTGGAATTATCTAGTTATGTTTCTTTCTCCTTTTTACAGTTTTTCAAAGATAGATATGTAAGGAGGCATGAAGGATTCTTGAAGAAGGATGCTTACTAAAGTTCCATCTTCTTATCTTCTTTTCTTGAATTTTTATGTAATTTGCTGTTTTCTTCTTATTGCTATTAAGTTATCAATAAAATAATATTTTTAATATAAGTGGCAATTTATAAAAATAAATGTATCTCAAATTGTTTTCCAAATGAGGAACCTCTTCCATTGTATCCCATAGTTGTAATACATTTTTTCCTTTTTCTTCAATTAGGTTTATTCGATTTTGTTTGACTCTTAATTATTATTACTAGTTTTTTAGCACAAATTTGTGGTTAAATGTGGGAGCTTTTACGTATTGGCGTGTTTCATACATGTTGTACGTGCATCATACTTCTTCCTGGAAAAGTAGGCTAAAATCAAAGGAATAATCTTTATTCTTTTTCACTTTTAAAATCAAAGGAATAATCTTTCTTCTTTTTCACTTTTTTTAACATTGTAGTTGAAGAAATCAAAACAAATAAAAGAACATTCTAGATGAAGGAAAGAGTTTGTATGTGTTTACAGTACATTATATACATGCCCAGCACTGATATATTGGGAGAGTGACACAGACATGTGTGAGTTTTATTTTACCTATTTTCCTAAAGTAAAAATCGATACATCTTTTGGTTTCCAGATTTCACATTTTTATTCACTTTAAAATATCTTTATTTACATTTATATCCACCTAATGTTAACTAAATAATTTGTTTTAAAAAAGAAAAAAATCAAAATAAAAAAATTATTACATTATGCAAAATTGAATGTAAAAAATACACATTTTTAATGTTGACTATTAAAAATTAAATTCCATAAATATCGTAATAAAGTGTCAAATAATTGCACTTTTATGATAATTACAAATTTATTAAGGTTTGTATTTTTTTTATATGCAGTATTTTGTTTAAATACAACTCCTCGTATTGAATAAAGATGTGTAACATATATAATATCCGACGTGTTGATATATTAATTAAATAAGTTTAATAATATATGTTGGATAAATTTATTAATAAATTAATTAGATGAGTCTATCAATACATATTATACTAGTGTATTCATATATTCATTTATATTTTTAGTGATTCTAATACTTTTACCTATTATTTATATGTTTTAAATAATCTTTTCTACTTTTGTAATGCTTTATTCTTTTAATTTTTACAAAATCTAATATTTATATTTTTATAGATATATTGACTTTCTAAATTTATAAATCATTTTTCAAGTTGATTTTATTCAAAATTTAATTATAAACTTAAAAATATTTATTATTTTTTCCTCAATCTCTAAATATCTTTTTCATTATAGTTAGTATGTTGGGATATCAACTTTTCGTCATTGATGCCACTCCTTTCTTTCTTTGTCTCCCTTGCTTCTCTTTTCCTATCGTAGGTCATCATTACATTATACTTCCTGAAAAAATTGTTATATGTTGTCATTGGATATACGAGATTAAGTACAAATCTAATGGCTCAATTGATTGCTTCAAAGCCAGACTCGTTGTCAAAAGTTACACACAGTTGGAACCTTTTAGACATTTTTGTTCCAATTGCTAAAATCACAACTTTGCATCTCTTATTAGCTCTACCTTCGTGTAATAGTTGAATCATCAATCAATTAGATGTCAATAACGCCTTCCTCCACAACAAACTACACAAGGATGCTGCCACTTGGATTTTCTAGTCACAAATCCAATCAAGTTCTTAAACTCCAATGTTCTTTTTATAGCCTCAAACAAGTTGGTCAACAGTGATATGAAAAGTGAAAAGCTTTCCCAATTTTTAATTTCACATAACTATATTTGATCTTTTGTTGACCACTCACTTTTCTTGAAACATGACAATCAATTCACCATTGTCCTTATCATCTACATGGATGACATTTTCCTCATAGGAAATAATGTTAGAGAAATTAATCACATCACATACCTCGTCCATAATCACTTTTACATAAAAAATCTTGGTGATCTTACATACTTCCTTGGTTTTGAAGTCGCCCAAAATCCACAGTGGTATTCATATCAGCAAATGAAAGTACACTTTGTACATGCTTAGAGAGACACGAATGATGGGCAATCCTTCTACCCCCACTCTCATGGCTCACTCTTCTTGTCTCTAACATTCTTGAAAACCTCTTGATTGATGTTTCCTCGTACAGTAGACTCATTGGCTGCCTTATCTACCTTACCAACATATGCTTTGACATAATTTTTTATTGTCAACAATCTTAGTCAATTTTTTTCCTCTCCAACCACACCAACAAGTTGCCAATAGAATTCTTATATATCTCAAAGGAACACCAGACAGTGGGCTATTTTTCCCCATCAATTTCCTCCATTTAACTCAAAGCTTATAGTGATTGGAATTGAGCCACCTACCTTGACACAAGAAAATCTATAATCAATTTCACCATTTATCTCAATGACTATCTCATTTCATGAAAATCGAAAAAGTAACATCTCGCACAGCTTTTCAAAAGCAAAATGTCGTGTGCCTTCCTCTACTACATATGAAGTCCAATGACCCACATACCTTCTGGAAGATCTCAATGCTCATTTTACCACACCAGTCTTCCTATATTGTGACCGCCAATCAACAATCCAAATTGTGTAGTGTCAAATGAATATGAAAAATTTATACATCAAAGTATCATTTTTATAAAGCGTAAAGATAAAAGAAGAAAAAAGACCATACAGTAAAATGAAACATGTTCACATACCAAATAGAGCATCAACATTAAATAATTGAGAAAAGAAATCATGTAATGTGGCAT